AAATATAATATAAAAAGTCGACGAATTCTCACCAAGGCATGTGTTTTATCATCTCGTGCAGCTTCTTCTTCTTGTTCACCGGCTGTAACTTTGGTGGGAGGTCCTGGTTGTTCATCCATTTTAACTTTGGCTTTGAGCTAGTGCCTGAGTGTTGCGTGTACATCCGTTTTACTGGCTTATTTATGTGCAGTTGATTGTTCCTTGTCGCTCGGGCAGATATACTCCGACTTCAAAAGTCCCCATTAAGTCGACTCCTATGACATGCTTGTTGGAGAGGCAGGGGGTCTGTTCTGGTTTTCTCCAAAATGTGGCCCCAGAACCAACACCGGGAATCGTGCGGCTCATTCCTGGTCTTCTCCATAATGCTGTTAACTCTAAAAATGTTTTCCTTTCCTTCTTCCTCTAATAACTGTTAGTGTTTGTGTGTACGCGTGTCTATGGATTTGATTAGTATGCACGTGTGATATTTATTTTATGTGAATGAGTTTGTTATGTATGTATGTATGAGTGTGTGTGATCGTTCTTGAGTTTTGTGTTTAAAAGTATGTATGTATTATGCGTGAGGTGAATATATATGTATAAGTGTGTATGTATATGTGGGTAAGTATGCCTGAGTGTGTTTGTATGAGCGTATGCATGTGTACGTATAAAAAAACAAGGCAAAGTCGGGATATGTGAACCAGCGTCATTGCACACGGTTATAAACTAAAAGTGCTCTGCCACCAGTACGGACAGCTGATAAGAAACAGACCACTTGTGTCACTGTCCGCACGTAATTCTGTAGCTACAGCGACGTTCCTCAATTTACCCCAGAGTGTTAACTCTGGTACCCATTCCCAAAGGCTAGGTGAACCCAGGAAACAGTCCGGTTTCGAACACCAGCTGTGTACTGCAGCGATTCGCTGCTGGATTTGAAAGCGAGTTTCCTATCGATTGCGCTAACGGGGCGGGGTATGAGTATGTGTGTATGTATATCTCAATCTGAGTATGTTTGTACGAGTGTACATTTACGTTTAAGTATGTGTATATATATGTGTGTGTGTCTATCTAGAGGTAAGAGTATGTATGTGTGTCCACGTGTATGTCTGAGTCTGTGTGTGCATGTATGTGTGTTTTCATATGAATCAATATATGTATATACAAAATAAAGCGCTAGCTAGAAACGATTACATTGGATACCGTATCGTGTGATGGTTTACTTCTCGTCGCTTGGCTGTTAAGAGGATGCATGTGCAGCTAATAACTGCTAGCTCTTAGCTCTCACACGTTACAGTTTCTTGATTGTTTGTTTTAGTATCCAGAAAAGCCATGAGTTGTTAACCCTTAGGCTCGGTATTATGGATATCGCAACCTTTCGGTCTTGATTCCATTGTAAATACCGTAAATCTGGGAGAAAATGTGGCTTTCCTGCTTACCCCCGGGATTGAACCCGGACCACAAGGAGTTCGTCACCCGGTCTCCGCGCAATCCCGTTTAGCCAACTACGCTAGGGAGCCGAGCTACAGTTTCTTGATAAATGGGAACGACAAAAGCATGCAGCGAGTTTTCTTTTCGCTGTTTTAAGACTGTTAACAAGCTCTATGTGCTCAGCGAGACGTAAATCGAGTAGCTATTTGTAAAAAAAAATAATAAACAGTAATAATAAATAGCAAACCAAAAAAGTACCATAGGATAATTATATATATTTTTTTCAAAAAGTAAGGAACTATAGAAGAACTGCTATGAATAGCAGGTTATTTCGTAACCGTATTGTACGCCAATATACATGACATTCTTTCTTGTTTTAAACATACTAAATACGAATGCTATTATGTTTTGTTTCTCCACCACCCACCGCTGTTTTTTTTTTTAGATTCACACACAACTTCAGTTTCAACATGTCAGGTGTTAACTATAGAAATTTCCCTGTGTTAGGGAGGTAGATCTACTTGGTCTAGACAACTTATGTCTTTCTTTATATCGCTTCACGGGCTTCCCCTCATCTTGGTCGGAAGAAGAAAAAAAGAGAAAGAAGAAGAGGAAAATGGATAATAAAATTCTGCTCCTCTTTGATGCTTGTCAAAGGTGGCCATCTTTAACCTGTCATTATAAAGTCACTATGTTCGTCTGCATTGTGATGTCAGGTGCTCAACACTCTTGACATCCTGAACAACAATATTTACAAGCTACAAGACAGTGGCATGGTTATTATAATTGCTATCAAATGTTTTAAAGTTTTTATGTCAAGCCGTCTTGTAGCTGTTTTCCCTTGCCTTCCACATCCCCATGGCTTTAGACTATTCTCAACCTTCAGCAATATTTTTAGTTGCTAGGGTAAGTGAGTAACCTAGTCTCAACCCTAACCCTTAACCTAGAGAGGAAATGGAATTGGAGCAGCAGAGACATGGTTTTTTAGAAGAATGCCAAGGTTATCATGGAAAGATAGAAAAATTAATGAGGTAGTCATTTTCGAGAGAGATGAAAACTATAAATTGACAGAGAAATGAGATGTAGACTGTTTATTTTAGGCACCTTTTGAGAAAGAATGGACTTAAGAGCAGTGAATCTATGATTCTGTTGATTGTGTGAGATGGTGAAACATGAACATTTACACTTAGCTGCAGGGCACATCATGATCCTGATAATAGCCACTTTAAGCGGTATGCAGTATAAAAAGAGTTCATGCTGTATTGCAGACACTATTTTTATATTTACAAATCTTTATACAAAAACCACAAACTGGAAAATATATAGTCTTTTATTTGTTTTTATAAACTCCTTGTTGGTGTACACTGCATGCAAAGTGAACATAAAGAGACATAATCTATATATTACAGAAAACAAGAAACTGCCCCCCTCCCCCCAAAAAAAAAACTGGCCGCTGGGGTTACTAGTATATGCCCCAAAACACCTCAATATATGTGGAAAGAGGTCCTTTACCTTACAAGCTTGACATTTTCTTGTGCATGTGTTGTTCATCTAAGTGGCCAGTTAGTGAAGCCAGTACTGTGAGTGTAGATTCAGTGCTCGCTTATACAGTCACAGTAAGGCCAGTAACTCTCTCTACATACAAGAGGCAGTAAAAGAGTTGTTCACTTTAGGAGTCAAGGATTGTACCTAAGAAGAACAAGTGTAAATGTTACTTTCTTTATCTTCTCCTTTTCGCTCTCCCAGTCGGTGGTTTTCAGATGAGAAGGCCACACATCTCTATGAAGGCTGTGGAGTGATACATGTCCCCCACTGATCCGTACAACTTGGTTTCCACTGGAATGCCAAATAACCAGATCTGGGATCTCTCTATTACATGCAGAGAACATGTTCAGTATTCTGTGGTGCCTGCTCAAATGGGCAAAGCTCTGTGTCTTCAATCTTGAATTTCATGTACATAGTGTTTTTATGAATTCACCCCTCATGGTGATACATTTCTGCCCACTTTTCTTCAGATGGTGACCTGAAGGTATAACTGTGGTGCAGCTATAAAAACATCATGAAAAGATTTCTAGCCATAGCGTTCACTTGTCTGTGATATTGTGAAACTGGCCGGTTCTACTTTTCACTTGGTTTGATATCTTTTCATATTTTTATAGATTCACCACAGTTAACTAATGGTTCTCCCCCTTCCCTCCCTTTTCCCTCTAAAGAAATGCTACTATCTGTTTGTGCCCATTTAACTCGTCTGTACCATACCTTTTCTATTTACGGTTTTATTTTTTTGTGTGTGTTTGTGATACTGTGAAGCAGACTGGTTCAACTTTTTGTTTGGTTTGATAGTTTTTCTTGATTGGCCTAGAACCACATCTTTGGCTTAGTGATCAAGTCTTTGTTGTTTGAAAAAATGAGGCAGACTCTTCATCTTTGGAAACAAGAACTTTAGGGTATTTTTCTGGCACTGTTTTTATTTTATACATCCATGGTGAGCATTTTATCATAAAATGACAGTCCAAGTTTTTTTTTTTTTGGAAACTTAATATATTCTCAATTTAGTATCTACCTACACAAAACCAAATAATAATTATAATAATCCATTAGTCTTTTGAAGGTAATTATTTTGTATTCATGCAGCTAAGTTGCTTAGAGGTTAGCGAATGCGGCTAACAATTTCACGACCCTCGAGTACTGTGGTTCATTCCCAGAGGTGGATGGGTAAAAATTCATTCTTATGGTTTTCAGACAATGATACAAGAGTCGCACTGTGGAAGAGATAAGAGCCTCACCACATAATATTCCCAAAGAAAACAGTGATACACTGTAGCCAACCGCCACTGTGGAGACGGCACCGAGCTTATATATTTTGTATTCTGGCATCCAAGATGCTCTCAAAATGTGTCTTATAAATGTGACAGCATTTAAAAGCACAAGAAACACATCATGACATTCACAGCATAATATAATTATAACTCTCTAGAAGCAGTTAAAAATCTTTATTCTTTAACCCTTTTGCCACGAGAAGCACCAAAACCTGCCCTTCTGACATGTGCCATGCCCTAGCAAATGTCACTTTTAATCAGCGCGGCTACAATGACTTGATTGCTAAGCATTGATTCTGTTTGCACATGTGCAAATTTATGACAGGTCCGCCAATGGCTATATTTACTAAAAAATGTTGCATTTGTGGGTATTTTCTTTTGATAAACTGACTTTATTTATAAAAATTACGATGTTATGATTTCCCATTAGTGAAAAAATAAGTCACAGTATTAAACCTCAGCCAGATGTAACTCTGTTGATTGTCTGCCGCATTAGTTTTTATAAATTACTCTTTTTCATTAATGCGCAGTTATTGTTTATGTCCAAAAATATAACTGTAATAAATTTTTTTTTTCACTGTGTAAAATTATTTTTTTTTTTTGAAGTATGTGTTTTGGGTAAAAACCAAAATAGGCTTCTTGGCCTTATTTTTTCTACGTCACGGGCACAAAAGGGTTAAATTTACATTTCACGCTGTACAATACAGCAGTCTCTATTAAACTAACACATACAGCATACAAACATGTCAACATCAGAGACTCATATTTTACATGTTAAGACCTCTTCCGTGCCTCAACCATAGTGGCAATACTTTTACCCTGCTGTCTCTCTCTCCTGCCAATCATAGCCACAACAGCTGCAGCTATAAATGTTATAGCCACCATAATGATGCAAGCACGCACTCGGAACTTGTCCATGGCCACAGACAGCTGAGTCCGCCTGTAATAGATCACAAAAAGAGATTCATATTAGTACTTTCAAACTTTTCTAACTGCTTCTTCAGGCAAGCTTTTATCTACTGCCAGCTTGTTAGTAGGGCTGTTCCGAATAGTGATTTTCACTATTCGGCCAAACACAAATAACGGGACCAACTATTTGGCCGAACACGAATAGTGTATAGTGTATAAAATATATCTTTTAAAAAAAAACACACACACACACACACATTTATAATGTCAAATGTACGCTGAACTTTTACTTCACATAAAGTAGCACAGAATAGTCATCTTTTTCTTTAGCATTCTGAACCCTTGAAGTTTACTGCTGCAGATATCACTCGTCTCCATTCATCTCTCTTGCTGGCCTTATCTTCACAATTTGTGACACCAGTTGTTTGCAGGTCTGGCTGGACATTATCTCTAGAATTTATTTTTTGCCTTGTGGTCTACACCCATTCCTCTCTCAGGTGTATACAGTTTTTACTTCTCTGTTATCTGCCATTCTTTCAATATGCCCCAACCATTTTAGTCTGTTAGCTCTCATGATGCCAGTGATCAATAGTGATTTAAACAGATTATGTGTTACATTGTTGCTTCTCACTCTCCATTTCCCGCTGTTAGCATCTTTGATGGGTGCAAAGATTTGTTGTAAGACTGTTTTCGAAAACCTATAATAAGGCCTCATCTCTTTTATTTCTGCTTCAAGTTTCAGAGCCAAATAAAACGACTGGTCTTTTCAACGTTTTATATATTTTGATTCTTGGTGTTGTGAGACAGACACTTTGACTTTAGCAGATGTTAAGGGCATAGTACACTTTATTTCTAGATTGTATTCTAGATTGTATTTCTTCTCTCAGCACATTGGAGCAGAGTTTATATTCTTTCCATGTCTAGTTAGTATTCATACAGAATAGTAAACATTTAAAAACATTTTATGTTCTGCATCCTTCAGTCAGTCTGTGGTAATTAATAACTAGGATTGAAAGAATCCTAAGTATTATAACAAGTAACTAAACTTGGAAATAGTCACTGAGAGCTTAGTTAATGCAGGAAAGCTGCATTAGCTTTCAACAAAACCAATCTCGTTCCATGTTGTCAGCATTAAGCCATGTATGCAGAAGTGGGTGTAAGGTAGCTACTATTCGTATTCGGCCCGACCACAACTATTCGGCCAAATACTGAATAGTCAATAAGTCCACTATTCGGCCCCGAAGCGAATATGAAGCGAATATTCGGTACAGCCCTACTTGCTAGGCCTGTCGCAGTTTCGGGAAGCGTTAAACTAAATGGACTCCATCTCACTCGGGAAAGCCAGAGCCCTGTTATCTTGAAATCTTGAGTTTTCAGATTTCTTGTGTGCACCGCTCATACAGTACCAGTGCTAAACTGTATCACCAGACAAAGACCAAATAGTTCAGACATGTATCAAAGGAAAACAGACTATCACAGGAAAGTACACCAGAGACAGTCCTGTCACTTAGACACAAAAGAAGCAGAGCTAGGTATTGCCTTCTCAAGCCATGGACAGACAGAACATTTGAAGCCATGAATATCAGCTTCTAGACAGCACACATAAAGGCTCGTACCAGATGTCTCTTTAAAAGCTAAAGATTATAGTACAGCTCCAGAAAAAAACAGAAGGCTCAAACTCAGCAGGTTTTATCAGTTAATAAAAACACTTTATTAACACTGCACACTTAGGTAAGTCCAATGTGCATGTTTTCTCTTGCCATCATATCCTCTATGTGAGTGTGTGTGTGTGTGGGGGGGGGGGGGGGTTGTCGGTGGGTGTCTGTGTGTGTGAGAGAGAGAGAGAGATCTCTTTGCACTACAAAATAATTAACGTAAAATAAGGGACCCATTGCATGCATTGGATAGATATTACTTAACATATTTTTAAAGACCAGTCTGACCAAATGGGTAATATTGTTAACATCATGCTGGTCATCTTTACTTCCCAGATCCCTTCCTGGTCCCCATTTTAAGCTGGGTCACCCTATAAGCCTAGATAAAAAAAAATTTTTAATGTTTCTCATGTGGATTGGAAAGAGAGAGAAAGTTAGAGAGGGGGCAAGCAGGAAGGAACACACACACACTCGCACATACAGACACGTTTTTTGTTGTTTAGCCATCTTAAGAGATCACAACCACTCATTATTCTGTGAGATTTTATGACCATGTGTGCATAGTTGGTTAATAACAAGTGGAACATTTCTTGGCCAGCATATTAACAGCAGATAATTGATACAAGTGAAGGGGTTTGCCCCTTACTGAGAGTACCTGGCATAGAATTATTCAATCAGTCAAACCTGTACCACTTTCTTTTTTAAATTACTGTGAGCAAGTAAACTAATAAATTGTTAGGAAATGTATTATCTACATTTATATAATTTTTTTTTATATATAAAAGTATATAAATGGAGTAATCAATAAACATGAACAAAGTGAAAAGTTAAATGGAATAAATTCCACTGAGGCCTAAAACAATGTGTATTGGTTGACTTATGCCATGATGTCATGAATTCTATTATTGAGGTACTGGAAAATCTGACGCTTAAAATGGCTTTAAAACATCCATTTGATTCAAATAAAAATTCCCCCTAAATGCTATATTTAGTAAATATAATAATTTCCTGACCTCCTAAATGCTGTGCAGGTGCAAAAATAACCAAAAGCATTATCTAGGTGTCTTGTAGATCTATCACTGTTGACACACTGAGTAAGTGGCACTCTCAGGGACCCGGTACCTACTAGAAGCGCTGGGTTTTCAGCCACCTGTGGTGAAATGGTTAACAATCCCTGTCTTTTTCTGGTTGTTCACTCTCTCAGAATGTTGTTGATCCATATCTTGATATCCTTCCTATTTGTATTGCTCACTACCTCCTGCTTACCTATCTTTTACTTTATCATCCGGGATTTTTTTTTTTTTTTTTAAGGAACTAAATTCCTTTATCGAAGCAGAAATTGTTGCAGAGAAAATTATTTAAAAATGTGAACTTACGTTACACGGAGTGGAACTTTATCTATTGATGGGTACATTTTTGCCAGCACCATAATTCTTTTCTGAAATGCTGACGGCTTGTGAGTCCCAACACCTTCTGCAATTTTTTTCAACAATGACAATTTGAGAAAATAATAAGCAACGAAACAAACTCTCAGATAACAACAAACAAATAAATTACTGCCACAGCCTTTATATCATGAAAATACAAAGCTAGATGTGATCACTGTACTTTTGCCAGCAATTAAACAATGTACAAGCATGCAATCTACAGTAAGAGAAAACAGAATTGGACAGGCAAAAACTGCATTTTATAAAATGAAAAACATCTTGTGCAATTTATTCCTTGTCATTGAGAGTTAGAAAAAGAATTCTTGCTTGCTACATACATCAAGTTTTAACATATGGATGTGAATCCTGGACAATCGGTAGGCAGGCCAAACAATTTTTGGAGGCCTCAGAGATGTGGTTTTACAGAAGAATGCTTAGAATACCTTGGACAGCCAAAAAGAGCAACCAAGAGGTTTTAAAAGAGGCGGGAGCCCGAAGACAACTTATCACTGACATCAGAAGCAGACAGTCATCATTTTTCGGCCCTGTTATGAGAAGAGGGAAAATAGAACATGTTGTGACCACTGGAAAGATCTGTGGAAGGAGGGATAGAGGAAGACAACGAGAGAAGATGCTTGACAGTCTTGTTGCATGGCATGGAGGTGTGTCGGCACACGAACTGATACATGCTGCAGGAGATCGCGGATTATGGAGAGGCATGATCGCCCACGCCAGTTGGCAAGGCACCTGATGATGATGATGATGACAAGAGTGAACCAATAATTATGACCTGGAGATAAGGGTGTGGAGACCAGGGGAATCAGGCTAACACTCCACACTCTGAAATCATAATTCAGCGATGCATAATAAAAAGATTCAACCCCACTAGTAAAACTGGCTAAAAGCTTCCATACAAGGATGGTTAATATATCATTCTACTTCATAAAATTCAATATAATTCAGTACGAAATGAACAAGATTTGCATTTAATCAGAGGTTACATGGTCGAAGCTGCCTTAACTCTTTCAGTACCACAATGCTACGGAACAGATAATATGGCTATCCTCCATATAACAGGGACATATTATGGCTCCCAAAAACAGGGCCTCAGTCACGTATCAATTGCGTACTTCTGGCGACCTAATTTGCGGTTTTCCGGCGACTACCGCCACCGCCGAGAGTATCCCCCACGAAGTTCATGCTGCGCGGAATAGGTCTAAACTAGATGGCTGGGACTCACAAGCAAAACAGGAGATGCGGAAGCTGCCGCTCGTGAGTACCAGCCATCTAGTTTAGCCCTAATCCACGCCACGTGAGCGGCCTGTGGGATACTCTCAGTGTTGGCGCCATAATATGTGCCCGTTATTCGGAGGATAGCCGATAATATAGCTGAGACAATAATGACAACAAAACCTCTTATGTTCACAGGAGTCATATATGTATACTTTGTAAAAAAATGTGCGTTGGCTAAATACAAGAAGTGCAATCACATGGCTTTTTTTTGGGGGGGGTGGGGAGTGGGAGGGGGGTAATTTTTTTTAAAAACACATATCCACTTGAGGATTTGATATACCTGTTTCTTTTTCTTTAGAAAACTAGTCTGCCTTTTGTTTTTAATGCTTCTATTATCTACTCACCAAATACATTGCTGATTGGCATGAGCAACCATGTTTCGGCTCTCCTTTCAACTACGGCCAGTAGACAACAGTATACGGCCGGTTAGTCGGAGTTCTGTCCCCTGGCTGCAGTGCTATTACGGACTGGACAGGAGGAAACGCGAAACAAATGACATAATTACTGTGTTGGCTATAGGCAGTGTGCACTGCCCTGCTATAATCTTACGGTTAGGGTTAGAGGTAGGGTTTGAGTTAGGTTTAGGGTTTGGGTTAGGGGTAGGGTGTGGGTTAGGTTTAGTGTTAGGGTGTGGGTTAGGGTTACGGGTAGTGTCGCCGCATCTCGTCGTCGCACAAACTCAAAGTAGCAACCCAAACCCTAACCCTAAACCTAACCCAAACCCTACCCTAACCCAAACCGTATGATGACAGTAGGGCACTGCACGCTGTCTATCGCCAACACACAGTAATTCTGTCACTTGTATCGTTCCCTCTAATCCACTACGTAATGCGTCGCTAGAAGCAGTAATTGAACGCCTTCGCTAATTTGAGTCACAGCGCGGGGTCTGCTAGGCATGTCGACCTCACTTTGTGGTCTGATTCGTGCCTTCTCCAGTCCGTAATTGCACTGCATCAGGGGACAGAACTCCGACTAACCGGCCGTCTACTGTTGTTTACCGGCCGTAGTTGAAAGGAGAGCCCATGTTTCTATAAACCTTACGACCTCCAACAGCCTGCATGTGTATCAACTCATGTGCGGACTTCTTTTCACAATAGTGTAAAAGACTGCATGCTTTTAGCATATGTCTCTTTATACATAAATCTTTTTCAGTTGTTATACATCCCAGTATGTATCGTAATGACAGTAATGTGACCAGACAATGTATCTGGAATGACCCAGTTAAACGTCCAGTTTGAATTAGTCAAATCCCTCATATGTCTTTATTTAAGCTACACCTCACCTTCAGCAATATCAGCCATAAAACATCTGGTGACCTTCAATGGTTGTGTCTGCAGAAGGCCTGGCTTAGGGACCATTGCCGTTTCTCTCTGACTGGACATGAAAGACCGTGAATCTGTGGGTCCCCTGACAGCCGACCTCTGTACGTCCACAAGTCTCTGATATGTCCGCTTACCATGTGTTGTGAAGACTTCTTTACTAACCTTTCTCAGCAAATATATCGACTGAAACATCGTTACTTGCTGCATTGTGTGTATTCTAATCCAAGTATTTTAGATACGATTCGGGGGGAATAGAATCGAGAATCTGGTGTTGAGAGATCTAGCAGAAGTTTGGAAAAGTGACCTTTGTCAACTGCTTCCGGTGTCAAGGAAGGCTTTGCTTTCAGAAACAGCTGTGATGGAAAATATGTTTTTCATAAAGTCTGCTGGTCGATATGAGTGACTAATGAGGACTATTTATCACAGCACTCCGGACAGACCCATAGATGCTCTGATCTCTTCTTCCGTAGCTCCATAAAAGTAAAACGTCTGATCATGCCCGTTCTGTGTTAATTGTGCCCTTTGTGAAATTTTCGCTACTCACTCAAGGCCTAAATTCAGTCACTGAACTCCCATGTCCGCCAACCTGGACAAGAATACTGAGTAGCTGACCGGGTCCCATTTACGTTTTCAGCCCTAGAAAGAGAGTGACTTCCCTTGTCATTCATGAATCGCCGTGTCGCTGGGCTTGGCCCATGTTGCTGGGGTGTCGCGCTTTACCACCGACCGATACGGTCCTAAAACATGCAGAACTGGCCCTAACCCCCCACCCCCAACCCATACGTCCCACGAGAGAGTGCAGCCTACGTCCTACGTAGGGGGTTGGGGTTAGGGCCAATTCTGCGTTTTGGCACTGTTAGAAACTCTTACATCCTGGAATATACACCACACGATATTGCCGGCTGATGACAACTAATAAAATGCTACTTACGCGTAGAAAATATATATAACCGAACGAAAAGTATATTAGCAAGCTTCACAATATAACAAATACAAACAAAACGTGAACGTTGCAGCTTTTGAGCCTGTATCCGCACATACAAATGAAACAATACTACACAGATACACAAAATCAATTAGCTGGTATCTCAAAGCAGCCGAGTCGGTTGTTTCTCAGCAGAGTGGAGTGTGACTCGGCTATTCATGAATTTCAAGGGAAATCACTTACTTTCTTGGCCAGAAAACGTAAATAGGACCGCTGGTCCAGTCTTGGGTTTACCTGGTAACTGTCGGGGACCCTAATATAACCTTGCTTACTGAGATTTGTGCGTGTAGGATTCTAATCTTTAAGGTGTTAATCCTGTTGACTGCACACCTAAAGGGGACAAAAGGGGTATAGGGTGGGGGGGGGGGAAGTTATTTTGAATGTATGCTATGATAAATAGAATGGAGGACCAGACTGCGAGCCCTATGTGACTCGTAACAGGCACAACAGGACGATGGTGATGAGTTCTTGAAAATGTGTAAGACAGCCAAAAACTACATGAAAAGGCTGTCTCTCTTTTTAGTAATTTTAAATATTTTATTTGCTATTCAGCACTTTATTATTATTATTATTATTGCCATCCTTACTCTTTTATACAAGATTTAGGGTCCTTGAGTATCTCATAGAAAATATTAGGAAACTGAGCACCCCTCCTCTGAAGACACTCCATTTGTCGACACCCTTACCTCACCATATATCAAGCTATTCAACATGTAATGTCTCCACAAACTTCTCAGTGTATCCCACAGTGTATCTACTGAAAACACCAGTTTTGTTAGTTTACTATACCTCCTTGCCTTTCTGCATAGCGATCTTTGTTGGCTTCATCACCATTGACTTGTTGTTCCTGAAGTCTGGTTTAGACAGTCAATTCAGTTATCACTTGATTCATTTAATCCTTCTGTCGTATTTGTAACTGACTCACAGAGCATGTTGAGAATGGTGGAGACAGGCATGCTCCTTGCAGAGTGATAAGCATCGCTTCAGAGGTCCAGGCTAGTTAGCGCTTTTTTTAGGTACTTTCTCCTGGTCATACCTGTGTGTTGGGAAATGAGCTGGATTTACCAAGTATCTGGCCAGCGCCCAAATTTTTCTCCAAATCTGGCCAATGCTCAACACTCAAGGAAAAGGCAAGACGGATATACAATCAGACAATTACTGGTGCCTTTGAAACTGGAACTGTTCACTTGCTGCTGAAAATGGTGATGAAGCGCTTATCGGAAGGGTCCTGAGTGCTGTGAAGTCAATTCTTAATCCAACATTCAAATCCTCCTGCATTGACGAGAGCATCAATAATATCAGAACAGCCCTTTGATTGCGTTGTCCACAGTAGCCTCGTTTCTTTTTCCCCTTCAGGATTAACATCTGAAGGATGAGAATTGACCAGGTCCAATTGCAGAAGCCCTTATAACTAAAGGTAAAGTCGGGAGATGTGAATCAGCATCATTGCACACGGTTTTAAACTATAAGTGCTGTGCCACCAGTACAGACAGCTGATAAGAAACTGTCGGCCTGTGTCGCCATCTACACAAAACTCCGTAGCGACAGTGACATTCCTCTATTTACCCCAGAGTCTTGACTCTGGTCCCCATTTCCTAGAGGCTATATGAACCCCATAAACTGACCGGTTGCGAACACCGGCTGTGGGCTGCAGCGAGTCGCAGCTGGATTTGAAAGTGAGTCTATCGACTGCCCTAACGCGGCCCCTTATAACTGTATAGCATTAATATAAGGCACCATAAAATGTTTATGAAGTAATCATTAGCCCACTATGGGTGGGTCTTAATGATTATCTTGTTCGCTGCCTCTTATACACGCTTGCTCTGGCCCAGAAAAAAAAAATAATGGATGGGTAACTGGAGAAGACAGCAAAAGGATGTAAGAAATGAGGAGGGTGTGGAAAGTAAAAGAAAGTGAAGGATAATGAGAAAGAGGAACAGAGAATAAAAAAAAAGTGAGAAAAGGTGGAGAGAGAATGAAAAGAAGCAAAATGAGAAAAAAGAGAAAAAAGAAATAGACAAAAATCATACGATTAATCCAACAAAGGTTTGCAGTCATATTTAGTCTTCTTATTCGTTGTTGTCACCTTCCTGTCTTTCCAGGATGATAGTGTTTATTTTGTGCAACAGAGAGGCAGATATGGGAATGAAACTCCTTCTCTACAAAGTAAAATGATTAGGTCAGTATTTTATGCATCCAGCATGATCAATCACTTGACTGGCCTTACTTACTCCAAAGGAAAGATAACACCAATGTTTGAAACAAAGCATGCTGCAGCAGCTGCTGAATCATAGTAGTGCTGTCCATCCCTCTAGGGAAACTAGCCTTCTAAGCCAGCCACCAACCAAGCTTTAAGGCCTGGTCTTACCTGCCATAACATCATGTTTTGAGATTACACTCTTCCTAGGATGTCTAGTATCCTCCCCAATGCGTTCATCTGCCCAACGCTGTTGGCTCAAATGGAATGTCAGATCTGGTCTTCTCTTTCAAAATAACATAAAATTAATTTAACAAACATAAGCTTTCTTACACATACAAGCACCCCCTCCCTCCAATCCCCCCAAAAAACCAAAGTAATCCTATACATAAATTGAAAACATTATCCTCTTTATTTACAAACAATGATGACAGAAACAAAGACATCATTTCTCATTCACATTTGAATAAAGCTTTGTGGTTAATGACTTTTTTACACATGATAAATATTTATTAAGCATATAGTTTTAAAATATAGATGACAAATCAGATTTTGATTTTACGTGTGTTCTGAAAGTGATAGAAACAGTTTTATATTACATGTTACACAAATCTTCAAAAGGTCTGGTGGGGATTAACTCTTGGGTTAGTCATTAGTCGCAGTTGCGATTTTATAGCAAACATGTCATCCCATAACTGCTCGGCTCCAGTACCAGTGAAAACCAAACAAGCTGCTTATCACTATCGTATGTGAAAGGCTGATTATACAGCAATCCTGGTAAGCCAACAGCATGCACACGCATTAACCGAATGAGGCAACTGCCAGAAATGCCAACACCAACACTCTGCCACTAGAAAATCACTTCAATGTCACTGAAAGCAGCATCACGACAAACTTGCTTTCCAAATGTCAAGTTAGCGGCTTGCTGAGTGGTTACAGCCCTGGGCTCTCAAGCAGGAGTCTCGGATATGGTCCTCAATAGGGGATGGGAAATTTTGTACAATTTTTGCTGTTAATGACACAAATATTTTTAAAATAAACTGCACATTTTGTGGCGACTGTCCTAGCCAGGTGCCTTAAATTCTTAGGCTCATAACTCCCTGTTCTACACCATCCTAAAAGTGGTAACCACAGGTGTTGGTGGAGATGTGTTTAAGGAAGTTGTCATGACCATCTACAGTGTTGAAAAATATTTGTTCCTGTTCATAGCAGAGCTAGGGTATTTGTGCTCAAAAAGTCTGTCATGTGGTAACAGGACTATGTGGTACTTGTGCAATCCAGAGTAGACGATCAAGAATATGCTAATGATGATGATGATGAAGAAGCTAATGATAAAAAAAGTGTTTATGATGGGCGTGATATCTAGGATACTGATATTGAGAACAACCATGGACCATGGTCAATATGCTAATGAAAATGAAGGAGCAGCTGAGGATGAAAATGACACAGCTTTTGATGGTCTTAACGGCCGCAGAGTGATGATAATGACAATGAATACAGTGATGATGGTAACATCAATTACTGTTAAAATAATTAATGATATTATAATGCCTGAAAAATTATTACTGAATATTGATGCACATGAGCAACAACAAAAAAATACAAATAATAAAGAAATAAGTGACAGGCTGAAAATAAGAATCGCACAATGATGTGAGAAACAGTAAAAATATGTAATGGCACAAAGCAACAAAGAATAGACTGATGCTGTATGACTGACATCAAAGAGCAATGGAACACTTTAGTCATTAGTGGCGGCTCCAACTTCACAGCACAACGGTTCGTTCTGTAACAGTTCAGTTGAAAAATCACACAAAAAGCCCTCTCACTTCCTAATCTGAAAAACAATTAATGCGACAAATTAGTCATGGCAAACTCTAGAAGCCTGCACACACAATAATTGTGTAAGGCCACCAGAGTTGCCAACATCTACAGACCAATACCAGAATGCACTGAACACTTTAACACTGGTAAAACAAATCACGGAAGATATAACAAAAATCTTGCATAAATGATAACATCCAA